CCCACCATGCAAAATAAATATCATTTTTATGATCAGCGGGTCGCATACCCCCTTTCCCTTCCTTGGGCGAATTTTTAGCAAAATTGTGGTTCTTGATTTTTGAGATCTGTTAAGTGGGATAGTATCCAGCAATGTTGTGTATTTTGCAGTCTTTGAGATTTGTCCTACTTTTCTAAACAATTAGGCAGACATGAAGTTTTCCACACAATTGCAACCTTGGATGATTGATTTATTCTTTTTTGTCTCATTCTTCATGCCTTCTTGTGCTTTTAATCATAGAAGTTTTTAATGTTGGATTTTCTGACATTGCCTTCTTTGTCTTCAAGCAATCAAGTTGAGGTTAAAATGTTTGGGCGCTATTCCACTTCAAAAATTGAAAATCACGGTTCTCGCTGAAACTTCGCTTAGGGGGCTATTCGACCTGCTGATCACGAAAATGATATCCATTTTGCGTGGTGGGCCATTCTTGAGGGGTAAGTAGGTATACGGTATGGGGTGCGTCAATCCAACACAAACGCGGGGCGACCACAGTTAAGCGCGCCGGCGCGGCGGACTCGGAATTTATGTCCGACATGGAAATCGCGCAGCGACTGGAATCGCGCGCTATTTTTGGGCGAGCATACTTTCGCCAACGTTATCTTCGCGATATCGCTGGAATTGAGCGATATCGTGTCGCTGGTGCTGCACCAATGATGGGCGAATCGCTCGAATGGCTTCTTCTTTGTGAGAAGTTTTGTATTTTTTGAAAATGTGAATCTCACTGAGAACTGTTCGTCTCACACAAGCGCTTTCTCTCTGCATGAGAGAAGGGTGGTCATCGAGCATTCCATACTATTAATCCTTGAAAACAAAATATGCGAAGTATATGGTATGGAATGCTTTCCATCCACCTTACCCTCTGTGTTAGCATTTACTGTTCTCGCAATGCACTAATTCTTGGTCTCGAGGAAAGGACGGGCCCATGAGCTTCTTGCGACAGGACATATTCGCTTAGACTTTTGGCCCCTCCTTTGCAAGCACCAAACTTCTGCTTTGAAAGCAAAAAAGCACAGGGATTTGGTTTCGAAAGAAAAGAGAATCATGGGCTCAGGCGGCAATATATTTTCGCTAAGAATTTTCAGCTGTCAATATTCAACTATACAATAACTTGGTTGGAATTCACTTCTGCCCCCCTCTACATCGCAAAAACCAAACTTCTGCCCCTGGAGACAGAAAAGCACAGGGAATTTGGTCTCGAGGGAAGGACAGGCCCATGAGCTTCTTGCGACACGACATATTCGCTAAGACTTTTGGCCCCTCCAACTTTGCAAAAACCACACTTTTGCCCTGAGAGCAAAAAAGCGCAGGGATTTGGTCTCGAAAGAAAAAGGAATCATGGGCTCAGGCGGCAATATATTTTCGCTGAGAACTTTCAGCTGTCAATGTTCAATTATACAATAACTTCCTTGAAATTCACTTCTGCTCCCTTCAACATCGCAAAAACCAAACTTCTGCCCCTGGAGACAGAAAAGCACAGGGAATGTGCTCTCGAGGGAAGGACAGGCCCATGAGCTTTTTGCGACAGGACGTCGCTAAGACTTTCGGCCCTTAAACTTCGCAAAAACCACACTTTGCCCCTGAAAGCAGAAAAGCACAGGGAGTTTGATTTCGAGGGAAAAAAAGAATCATGGGCTTAAGCGGCAAATATTTTCTCTAACAATTTCCAGCTGTCAATATTCAATTATACAATAACTTGCTTGAAATTCACTTCTGCCCCCTTCTACAGCAAAAACCAAACTTCTGCCCCTGGAGGCAGAAAAGCACAAGGAATTTGGTCTCGAGGGAAGGACAGGCCCATGAGCTTCTTGCGACAGGACATACTCGCTAAGACTCTTGGCCCTTAAACTTCGCAAAAACCACACTTCTGCCCCTGAAAGCAGAAAAGCACAGGAAGTTTGGTTTCGAGGGAAAAAAGATTCATGGGCTCAGGCGGCAATGTATTTCCGCTAACCATTTTCAGTTATCAATGTTTCATCATACAGAAACTTGCTTGAAATTCACTTCTGCCCCCCTCTACGTCGCAAAAACCAAACTTCTGCCCGTGGAGGCAGAAAACTTAAACTTCGCAAAAACACTTCTGCCCTTAAAGACAGAAAAGCACAGGGAATCTGGTTTCGAAGGAAGGACAGAGCCATGAGCTTCTTGCGACAGGACATATTCGCCAAGATTTTTGGCCCCTTCAACTTCCCAAAAACCACGCTTCTGCTCCTAAAAGCAAAAAAGCACAAGGACCTTGGATTCGAGGGAAGGATAGACCCAGGGTTTTATGCGACAGGACAGTCTCGCTAGGGCTCGTATGCACGTACGCTGGGGAGGAGAGGGGATTTGAGAATGCGGCATATCTCGCTACTCTAGGGGCCGCATGCACGAACAGGGGAGCTGGGGAGGGGATCGCAGCTTCAGAAGAAAGCTTCATATCCTGAAGCTCCGAAGTTCTGGATTTCACGCTGTCTGCCTGTCCGTAAGTATTCCTACCACCCTTTATATTGAACAGGAGCAAGAAGCTGTACAAGCCGTTTTTTCCAGCTTTTTGTACGATCCCCTGGTGATCCCCGGGGGACAACCGGTTCTTCTTTAAAGTCATTTTTCTTTCTGCGAAGTTAACGAAAACCATCCAAAGTTGTACTGAACATCTAATACAACAGTGCTAAGCATGTTGCTGATGAGAACAAATGAGTTTTTGAAAAGTCGAATTTTCCGGTAAACCTCAAATTTCGACCTGTGGATCATCGAAAATTTCATGACTTCAAAACATCAATTGTTCTTACCAGAAATATGATTAGCACTGTTGGGTTAGATAAGCAGTACAACTTTGGAATGTTTTCATTACCTTTGAAGAAAGAAAAACGACTTTGAGGCCCGTATGCACGAACATTCCTGCGGCGAGGGGAGCGGCGTCCTCCGTTATGAAGGGGCCGCGTGCGATCGCCGCTGCGGCTTTTTCATCATTGGGGATGCCGCTCCCCTCGCCGCAGGAATGTTCGTGCATACGGGCCTAAAGAAGTGGCGGTCGTTCCCCGGGGATCACTAGGGGATCGTACAAAAAGCTCTAAAAATCCGCTTGTTCAGCTTCTCGCTCCTGTTCAGTATGTTCATAGTGAAGGATGGTAGGAATACTTACGGACAGGTAGACAGCGTGAAATCCAGAAGTTCGGAGCTTCAGGATATGAAGCTTTCTTTTAAGCTGCGATCCCCTCCCCAACTCTCCTGTTCGTGCATGCGGCCCTAGGTATCTTTCTTCTTCCTGGGCTGTGGTCTGGAGCTAAGGTATCTGCGAGAGGAATAGCAAAGATGCTTTGCAGATAATAAGTCATTGGTGGTAGGTTCTTTACTCAAGAGCATGGTGTCTTGTTTCTACTACTACTGACACGCGAAAGGTCGGTGAAAAGATGAAAATTCTGTTTCTTGTCTTAGTTATACACAGCCAGATATCAATGTATCTGCCCCCACCCACTTACTAGCGACCCGTAGGGTCGCTAGTCTTATATATAAAGCTGAATGTCTGTTTGTATGTATGTATGTCTGTATGTCTGTCTGTGTGTACGTATGTTCCGAATAGAAAATTCCATTTCTGAACCGATCCGGACCAAACTTGGCACACATACACTTCGGGCCCCGGCGCGTGTCATAGGCTACTTTTCGTCATCGATCGATATCGATTTTATCGATTTTTATCGATTTTTTTGCTGAGTTCACCTACGGGGCTGGGAGTTGGCACAGGGGGATAATCGAGCATGGGGATTCCGAATACAATATTGGTTTTCAGGATTATCGATTACTTTTATCGATTTTATCGATTTTTTTGCAAAGTTTGAGCTACGGGGCTGGGAGTTGGCACAGGGGGGTAATCGAGCATGGGGATTCCGAATACAATATTGGTTTTCAGGATTATCGATTACTTTTATCGATTTTATCGATTTTTTTGCAAAGTTTGAGCTACGGGGCTGGGAGTTCGCACAGGGGGGGGGGTAATCGAGCATGCTGATCATCCCCAAGGGGGGTGATCAGCATGCTCGATTACACCCCTGTGCCAAATTCCAGCCCCCTAGCTCAAATTTTCAAAAAATCGATAAAATCGATAAAAGTAATGGACGATCTTGAAAACTAATATTGTGTTCGTAATCTGCATGCTCGATTACCCCCTGTGCAAACTCCCAGCCCCGCAGGTCAAACTTTACAAAAAAATCGATAAAATCGATAAAAGTAATGGACGATCCTGAAAACTAATTGTGTTCGTAATCGCATGCTCGATTACCCCCTGTGCAAAATCCCAGCCTCGCATGTCAAAATTTTAAAAAATCGATAAAATCAATAAAAGTAATCGATAATTCTGAAAACTAATATTGTATTCGGAATCCCCATGCTCACTTCCCCCCTGTGCCAACTCCTAGCCCTGTAGGTGAACTCTGCAAAAAAATCGATAAAAATCGGTAAAATCGACATCGATCGATAACGAGAAGTGGACTGTGACACCCGCCGGGGCCCGAAGTGTATGTGTGCCAAGTTTGGTCCGGATACGGCGGAGCCGGGTATGCCAGCTAGTTTGCAATATTTCTACAAAGAGTGATTATACATGAGGGAAATTCTTTCCTTCGAATTGATTGCGGAGCACCGGGAGGGCCTCAAGAAGACTTCGAGCGTAGATTGTTCGATAAGAGCCTATCAACTAAAAATAGTGGTCGACTTTGTGACAACATTTTCCGTCTATTTTCTAGGCTTTTTTGAACTTAGACTTTGGGAAAAATTGAGATCCATAATTAGGGCGCTTAGTAGATCCTCATCTCCCTAAAAAAGGCAGAATCATGGTATCAATGATGGGATCTTGAATTGATTTCAACTGACAAGGACTGGAGGTGGAAGGTAGGCTATAACACACAAAGGTCTCCCGTGCACATTAGCAAGCCATGTCGAACATAAAACTTTAAAATTGAATTGCGATTTTTCTTATTCCTTCACCTATTGTTTTAGGCTCCAGTGTTATTAGAGGCCAGGGTAACCATGCTACTGAACAAATGGCTAATCTTTTCACTTTTGATCTGCGTTCTCGTGTTCTCTTGTTCCGTAGAGGGCAAACCGAAGGGCAAAAATGAAGGCAAATCAGGAAAAGCATTTACCGAGGTGAGAAAATCCTTTATAGGACTTTATGCATATATTCTTAACTCATATGAACATTTTTTAGTGCATGCGTAAGTGTGAGAAGGAGAAGGACAAAAGTGGCACTCCACCGCAGGAGATATGGGTGATATGTCAGGAAGAATGCCACGGACATCACCTTTGATAGTCCTTTTGAAGGTTGCCTGGTGCAGCTTTGCAGAATAAACATTTCTCAAAAGCAGTTTTATGCAGTGGATATTACAGTAGAATCATGGGGTGCGTCAGAATTCAAAGAGCATTCTCTGCAGCGCTGTAATTTTCAAACCTATTCAAAAATTCAGACTATGTAGCATAATGCGGCAATCGTCCAAAATCGAGCTAAAAGTTCGCGAGTTAACTGCGTCAATGTTCGTTTTATTCTTGAATGATTTCGAAGGCTGTAGAAGAGCAGTAATCTTGAACTCTAAAGCTGCTCTCTTATTATCTCTTGTACTTATGTCTTCTATCAGGTTGTGTAATAAGTTAAGTCCCATTTCCTAGTTCAAAATTTTTTCAGCATACCCTCAGCTTTTTACGAAGTGTTCGTATGTTTGCGAGTTTATTTCCTCTACAGATCTACAAACTCAAACTTCGCTTACTGGTTAATTTTATCATTATATCCGTTTTCAAGCGTGGAGTCTCCACGCCGCAAAAGGCGCTTTCTATCTTCTCCATTTCACCCTTTGAATGGTTTGAGTGGTGGAGAAGCAGCCCTAGGGATTTCTGGAGATTTGCAGTGTGTATGGAGGAAAAGAAATCACCAGGGGAACTGTTCAGAGGTAGCATAAAAGATTTGCACATATAATATAACTTTTTGAGCTCGGAGACACTTTTTGCTTTGGACGTCCTTCTGAATTCACAACGACCGCTGAAGGCGTTTTTGAGGGAAAATGGCAGACAAACCGTCCGAGAATTGGTGCAGTGGATGAACTTCACCTTCAAAACCGTCGCTTGGGTGCCGCAAAACTTAAGTTAAAGAGCAGGAAACGACGTTGCGAAACAACACAAGCTCCTAACGAATGATTTTTGAACCTATCGAGTAGACGAAAAATGATGTTTTTACGCCAACGTTAGGCAAAGAAAAAAATGGACGCTACCGTTGGCAGGGCTCGGCATAGGTGGCTTGCAAAGCAAGCTGGATATCGTTTTTGGTGGAAAAAGCTGTCTTTCAATCTGCTGCCGGCACGCTGCCGGCATGCCGCCAGCAAATAAACAAAGGGTTTGTTTACAGCGCAGTGAAGATTAAATGGCACCAAAACAGGTGTGTAGATAGGCATTGGGGAGTTGGGACTATGTATGAAAAATTATGAAAAAATTATGTGGACTAAGGGCATGGCAAACTTTTTTCGGAGTCAGGTGGCTTTCAAGCCACCTGCATAGCCACCTGAGGTGGCTTAGCGCAAACAAAGTCATATAATTCCTATCCTTCACATAATTTTTTCAAATTTTTTACATAAAAGTAATCTGCATCCAATATTCTACAAAACAGCTCTTGTACCTCCCCAAAGCCTCTCCTCCCCGCCTAGTTATAGCCCGCCAAATTATCTAGATGGCAGCGGCAAAGGTGTTCCAACTCGCGGTGGTGCGCGGCGGATACAGCATGCCGCCAACCGCCGAGATTACAAACAATCACTAGTTCTTATTCCCTATTTATTGTTCTGTATTCTATTTCATTCTCTTTGTTCATGTTTGATTTGTTCGTTAGCGTGTCAAAGGGGATTCGTACCTTTGTGGCGAAGTCAAGGGGGACTTCGTTTTTTGCATTTTCAACTAGCCATCTCGTGCCGAGCCCTGACCGTTGGAAAGGCCAAAGTCACGACTTGAGCAAAATCTCCTTTCCAAGAAGGTGATGATCTGCGTTTGATGAGACCACGATGGAGTCATTTATTGGGACATGCTGAACCAAACCAGATAGTTGACCAGAAACGATATGTCGCTTAGCTCAAGCTCTTCAACCGAAAAGAAATAATCGTTGAGATCGAGTCATACTCCTCCATCACAATGCCCACCCACATATCGCGAACACACAAGGAGATTCTGCCAGATCTAAATGGGAGGTTCCAGCACGTCCACCCATACTCCCCACATCTTGCTCCAGGAGAGGCAGAACCTTCGTGAACGACAATGTCTAAAGAGTTGGCTTAACGCGTTCTTTGAATTACTCTCCGCCAACTTTTGGGAAAGTGGCATGCGTTCGTTTGGTAAAGAAATGGGAGCAGGTTGCGAGTTATATAGTTGCTTGGCTTACTATTGTGTTCGTTGTACGTTTCTTGAATAAATATGATCGATGGAAAGTTGGTAAAAGAGGAAAGAATGGAGATGTTGAAAATGGATATTTTTGCCTTTTCGGATGTTTGGTTTTCGAGCCAAAAATCGTTTTGGGTCTTACTGATTTGGAAAATAAAGTAACAAATCTTGTAGAAGAGACTGAAGAGCTTTCAGCTGCATACCCACGCTCTACCACTCACTGCTTAATAGATAGGGTGTCTGAAAATTCCTGGCCTCAAATATTAGGCTGTAACATAAGTCTTGAGACACTCCTAATTCTTACGGCGATGAGTTATACAGTCACATTTTCAGTAGGTACCCAGGACACTATTCGATAGAGCAAAGCAACCTCCACAAGATGATATGCAAAAGTTCGCACCAGCTTCGACCCACTTAAAGTTTGCATCCAAAATGTGAATCGTGCTGAAGGCTCAGAAATTCGCGAAAAATTCATATCTTTGTTCAAAAAAATCCTACGAATCTCCAGCTTGCTCACAAAAATTGCACCCTACATCAGACACTCATATGTACCATTTTCGAATTTATTTCTCACTTAGAAATCGAGAAAACGAAAATTCTCAAGTTTTATAAAAGCTAGGCTGTTCCACTTATGTTTGTATACTACGAGCCTCTAGGAGTATAACTGTAGACTCTGCTCTCCACAAAAACTAGTTTTCGAGAAGTGTTGTTTTTAGCATGAAACACCTGAATGATGAGAACTAAATTCGGTAATTTTTGAAAAAACTAGGACCTGTGGAACAGAGAAAATCTACCGTTAAACTCCTAAGGGCCTGTAGTATACAATTACTTAAGTGGAAACAGTTTAGCTTCGGTTTTGGAAAACTCTGAAAATTTTCGTTTTCTCGATTTCTAAGTGAGGAGAAACTTCGGAAATGGTACATACGAGTTCTGATATAGCGAACAATTTTTGTGAGCAAGTTGGAGATTCGCAGAACTTTTTAAGCAAAGATATGAATTTTTCGCATTTTTCGAGCTTTCAATACGACTTAGATTTCGATGTTAACTTGCGTGGGTTGTAGTTGGCGCGTGCTTTTGCATACCATCTTGTGAAGCTTGCTTTGCTTTATCGAATGGTGTCCTGGATCCCGATTGAAAATGTGAACTGTATGATTTATCGCCGTAAGAAGTAGAGTTTCTCAAGACTCATGTTACAACCTAATACTTTAACGCAAATTCTAACTAGATTTTTGCTATAATGTTGTTAAACCTAGAAACCACTAAATCAACAAAGAAAAATCCTTTGCTTCAAAATACCTTAGAGAATTTGAAAGCGAACAATTTTTTCAGCTTCCTCAATGATAGATAAGAGCGTTATCTGACTTGTTATACTTTTTTCGACGCCGGAAAACAAAACTGATTTATATCACTTATTTATTTATTTATTCATACACTCGAAGGTGTGCCAAAAAATCAGATTACAAACGAAACATGTTAGATCAATTCAACGCGCACTTGCTAGTACGACCTAACCCACAGTACACTGCTATAGATGTCAAATAAGTGGAAAGTAATCCCAGCTCATCTTTTGCGCCCGGTCCCTTGGTCCCTTGTGAAACCCTTAGCAGATGAGTGACAGTGGGGAATGCCACTATTCATTCGGGTAAAAATGAATAGACTAACAGCTGATTTTCGTCCTAAGTCTGCACTTTTTATATTAAAAAAATCAGTAGCTTGCAACAAAGCTTCATGTTGCTAAATTGCAGCAAACAGTCGTGCAAGCTTGCGTTGAAATTTCTTAGTTCGAAACTTGTTGGAAGTCTTAAATCAATGCATATTCGCAGCACAACTCTCTAGCTCACATTGTGTACGTTTTCAAAAATTTTAAACCCTTGTAAAGTTTTTGAACGTAAATTATATTTGACGAGAAATTTTTGAAACTGGATCTGGTCTTGGTAGGCGTTTTTAAACGAACTTATTTCTACAAAAAAGTTATATTTGAGAAACTGAAAAGAAAGGTTTAAATGGTGTGCAAAATTTTGTATGAAGTACGCTTTCTTCTTCGTAACAATCATCCCAAGAAAAGCTGCTTCGAAAGCTATATTGATTGTGTTTCTACCTAACAAAAAATCGAAGAAACCATGAAGAAACCTAATTTTTATTGCAATGATGGATTCTAGGTTTGACAATACAAAACAAAAAGCGCGTCAAAATTTGAATTGGAAGTACTTTAAGCCAAAGACTTCCCAAACACCCTGTATGAGAGGAAAACTAAATCAAAAAATGGACAGAACTTGTTATACAACCCTTTAGATAAGCACTCCTTTAAATGCTAATGTTGAAACGCTTTCGAAACAGAGTCAAGCTTGTGATGCGACTGTCGCAACGGGGGGTCGTAAAGAGGGTACCTAAAGTGGGGGGGGGGGGTCGTAAGAGAAGGTAGTTAGGCTAAAATACCCTAAGCTTAAAAGGGAATCAAAAAGCAGATAATTAGTTATGTTCTTCACAATAAATCTATAAAAAACTGGAAATCAGAATAAAAAAGATAGAAAATCTGTAGAAATTCTCAAAAAAAAACATTTACAAAAGCTCAAAACACTTTTGAAGGATGTATGAGTTGATAAAAATGCTAAATGTACCGATTGCCTTAGAAATCTCGCTTCTGAAGCCCTCCTGAAGTCTAACACACTCGACAAAAGCGAACATCTTTACCAGCTGTGACCATCATAAATTTCCAAATCTTTTTGTAATGTTTTTCACGGGCCCATATGATTTATCTGTACTTTGGAGATGCTTCGCTATCAATGCAAAATTTGGTGTTATTTTGTCAACTGTGGTTTTTCTTAGGATTTTATGTATTGTAGCAAAAAATGAAAAAAGGGGGGGGGGGGTCGTATCTGGGTCGCATCTAAATTTCTTCGGAGCTATTGAAGCTTGTTGGCTGCAATTTTGCTGCAATATGAGGCCATTCTCCTACTTTGCCTCGTAAAAATTGCAGGCTGTTTTATAACTTCTCTGGTAAGTTACAAAATTTTAAGCTCAAAAATCCCAGTTTTTGCTTTTTAGGATCGCATCTAAATTTGCGAGAGTCGCATCTAAATTTTTTCGAGCTTACTGCTCCTCAAGAGCTGAAACTTTTTCTATGAATAGTCTGGGCACCATTTTACAGAACCTATGCTTTGCAGCCTCTCAGTCTTTTCCTGGCCTTAGTTACAAATTTTCAAACTACCGTGCTCATGCACGCTTTTGACGTCGTTCTGGACGGCGCTCAAGCGGTTTTTTTTTCGCAGGAAAAAATGTGGAAGAGGTAGGAAGTAAGCTTGTTAGTTGAAAACATCTTTTGTAGTTCAAGAATGTCTTTTTTTTTTCTCCGGCAAAAATTTGTGTCGCCTACGGGAATCAAATTTGCTGGTCCGAAGTATGCCTTAAATTCAAAAAAAACTTCCAGATTCTCAAACATTATTGAAGGTGTGTATGTGTGCTGCAGATGCTGGACGCACCCATTGGCCTAGAAATTCTGCTTCCGCAACCTCACTGAAGTTCTCACGCAGGTGTTTTTTGAGATTGACATTCGTTTATGCAGGTTACCGCGAGGAATATGGGCAGGGGAGGTAAGGGGGATAAATGGGGGAAGGTGGGGGAGGGGGAGGGGGGGTCGTACGGATGGGTACCTTCAGGGTGGGGGTCGTAAATGAGGGTCCCGGATCGCGTCAACACGCTTGACCCTGTTTCGAAACCCTCAAGCGCCGATTTTTCACTTTCCTTTTGATATGCGTACCACCTTGAATTCCATCAATTTCATTCTTGTGGTTAGAGATTTCTCAGAAGAAATTTGCAGCCGCAAGCTTGCTGCATCACTCTCTTACATTAGTGAAGAAAAAGTTCAAGAAGCTGAGACGAATTGAGACGAAGACTTCATTATGAGAACCTGCGTGCCAAGACACTTACCTCCGCCAAGCCCTGAAGACCTGTCACAAATAAGATAAGCTTATTTGCATTTGCTAAGGTCTATTGCCCGACAAGAACTCAAAGAGACAGTTGGTTGAGCAGATAGCCAGGGAAACCGCATTCACTTCCTAGTCTAGCGCCGTGTGTGAGTAGACCTTCTTTGTATTTGTTACTGTACGAACAATATTATGTGCATGAAATTTCATACTTTTACTTTTTTTTTCGGAAAATTACTGTACTCCCAGACTTTCGTCGCACCTTGTGCCGTCCCTCCCCTATAAGGTTCCCGTAGGTACCGCCACTCGCAAACTAATCTCCTTTTGCTCCTTTCGGCGCGTTAATAATTTAGATGATTTTTGATTTTTAACAATCAAATCAGCCGTTTGAAGATTTTTTGAAGCATGTTTCTGGTTGTGGGCCCTTAAAAACTTATGGGATCATCCCAAAACCTTTTTTCGAAGCTTCGATCGAAAAAAAACTTTTGTTGCCTATCCCGTAAACGAAGGGAAATCCTATGACCACCCACCACCAATAGATAGTTCTCGATGAATGCTAGTCAAGCGATTTGACTAAAAACAAGAAGCTGGTGCGTCTTCTATTCAATGCCCCAAATCAAATGGTAAGAACGGTTTTTTTCTATTACCTGTGAAATAGCGATAGAGAGTGTGCTCAATGCATTCAGCATTACTGTCAGCTGTTTGTTAAAATATCAAATGACGTATAATGTAAGAATAATAACATGCGAAAGCGTTATAACATTTCCAAAAGCAATTGAACATTAAACATTTAATAAAAATTAGGAAATACGACTGCTTGTGCAGAGAATCATTGAATAGCTTTTATGCATTAGCTCATTGTAAGATAGCATGTATTAGGTCGTCGGATGATTTCTGTTACACTTCTTATTTTGAATCTTGAAAATCTTACAAGGGGAGGATACAGGGCCTAAGTCGCATTTCCATATAAAATGTATACTGTCTTGTAGAGCCTGAAACCCCAACTCCAAACCTGCTTCCGATATCTGCTGAACGTTTTGAGAGCAGTTATTGGAATTTTTGGAAGCAAAAATTTTGACGCTATAACAAATCATTCAGAATGTATTCTGAGCTCAAATGGGGCCATTAATTCTGCCACAACGCTTCATGCAATTGATACATCAGTATAATAGACTCAAGCTAACCATTACTTTATTCAAGCGTCGGGAAGATCTCAACACCTACTTTAACCTTAGCCAAAACCTCGAAATTTCGTCTCAGAAAATCCCCGTGACTCCCCTCCCAGAAGTGCTTTGCAGATACAAAAAGCATATCTGGAATCAGGGTCTCATGCTCTTAAAGACAGTTTACATTTCATATGGAAACTCCACTTTGACCAGATATCCCCTCGTGAAAGTTCAACGTTCTTTAGTATTATCAATCTATTGTTTTCATCTATATTCTTTTTTACCACTTCATGACACAGTTATTAACGAGGACAAGGGGAACCTTTTTCCCGTAGCCTCTGGTAACAGCTCATGCCCAGTCTTGTACAAAATAAAGGAGACCAAAAGTAGCAAAATTCCAAATACCTTGAGTATTTGAAGAGATTATGTGCAATCGCCACATTATATGCTACAGATTAATTTAGATGATGAACGAGGATTACACTAAAAATATTTGGAAAATTTTTATCTAGTCATCCAATCATTCGTTTCATAGCAAGAATTTAAATATCCTCCGACGTTGACTGTCTGCTCAGTAGTGACCAAGAGCTGCGTTTTCGAGGTGCTAAAATGTAAATTTTAAAACAGATACTTTACCTTTGGTTCAACTGGCTTGGCGTCTGGAAGGCGGGGCTTTGTGACCTAATTAAGGCCGCTCGCGCCCGCGAAGCAGTCTGCGTCTCTCTCATGCGGCTGTTCTTCGACCATTATCTGGCCTTAATTAGGTCACGAGGCCCCGCCATCCAGCTGCCAAGCAGTTGAATCAAGGGGTACTATTGTACTTACCAACAAGCATCTTCACTTGATTTTTGTGAGTGATTTGGATCATACATGGTGGCTGCATCCACGGCTCTCCGTCAATTTGCATCGGGAAAGATTTAAACGTTCTAAAACAAGATTTGAATTTGTAGGGTCTCACTGGAACCAGTGGATAAACATACTCGATGACAATTGTAGAACATTGCGATAAACGCCTGGCTCCTCGTACTCCAGCCTTTATTTGTCCCATTTGCATAGCTGATTCGAGTCCCACAAGCTAAAGACACTGAGCTAATTTTAAACAGTCTTTTGCAAAATTTTACCTCAACCAAACCATCTCCGATATCCTGCACTCGCGACTGCAGCGGCACCCTCTCGTTATTGCTTGGCAGTTGAAACTAAATCGTATGCATTAAAAGGAAAGGTATTATTTATAGCACTCACATTGAAGCGCGAAATCTTTCCTTTCCTACTTCTTCCCCATAGATTGCTCCCGCCATAGATCGAGTGGATATTGAGAATGGCGATACCCTCAAGCGATGACTCTTGTCCTAAGTCAATGGTCTCTCCATCGCACTAAACGTAAGAAAGTATAGCATGATACTATGTTGTAAAATGATATAAAGAACTTCGAGGCGGCACCTTTCTATTTCAGAGAGGAAAACGTAAGAACTATAAAAATGTTTTGATTTCACTGGAATAGATGTCGATTAACTATCAGTCGATAAATAGCGCAACTATCCATTACGAAGCCGTGGATTTCCAAAACTGAGATGGAAAGTAATTTTGCTGTACGGATTGCCAAAGATAGTGTGCATCTACAAAGATACCGACACATAGCAGCACGTCTGTGATATTTGCTCCGTTTCGTGGGTATGGGCGAATTTTTATATAACTAACTGTTTTTTTCTATTGAGAAGCTTCGCCACACAAAGAAGTATCGGATATGAACACAACAAGAAAATGTGTCTCTTGTTTCTCCACAATGGTCTATTGGGATTGCGACTGTGTCACGACGGTTTTCGTGAGAAGTAATGATCCCTAATACATCAAAGAGTGACAAAACTTATCTATTGTTATTAGATGTACTCTCGCAGATCGCAGCTTTGAAATACTAGCTTTTGCGGAAAAATTGCATCCTCTTCTCTCCCCTTCCGCAAAACAAAATTCATGTGGAAACTTTTCCTTCGTATTGTATAGAATCATCACAAAAGATATTGAAGAAAAGAAGAGTCTCAATGTAGGTAATTTCTGGGAACTTACATGGATGTCGATCTGCTCGTGTAAGTTTTTACAAGAACTCGAAAGCGTTTCGCTAGTGCCCAATTCGAAATACCTGAAATAAAGTAAACCGAAAAATGCTATATGGAAATACGCCTTGTATTCCATAGTTTTGTTATGTGTCGATCAAAGCACAGCCGTGAACAATGTAAAATATCGCTCTTTTAAAGGCAGTATCCAGGTAAATCTGGGCACATGAGGTTCTTGCCTAAAAACTTATGAGGGGTCCTAACTAAGGCGCTGCCCAAGCAGCAGTGCTAAAGATTCATTCACGGCTGAGGAATCCGTCCCCAAGCCCTCCGCCTCTGCGCCGTGACCGTAACACTTACGATGGTCCCAGCGAGAACATAGTGTTAAAGTGAGCGAAGTCGTTTGCGGATTACGGTCACGGCGCAGGCGCGGGGTATTTGGGGACGAATTTCTCAGCCGTGAATGAACCATTTGCCCTGTCGCTTGGACAGTGCGCTAGTTAGGACCCTCTCCTCAGTTTCCAGGCAAAAACCCCATGGGCCCAGATTTGCCTGGACGCTGCCTTCAAGAGCACTGTATACTAACTTAGGGTCTGCGTGGGAGCGTTTTCTGCTCATTTTCTGATGGGGACAGAATTATCAGTGCAGTACTGCACTTCCCAAAGAAGCAAAGAAATTCAGTAGAAAACAAGAAATTATTCTGTATACAAAGAAAAGCACTGAAGAAAACTACATACGTTCTTCAAGCCGATCTTTCCTCGAAGCATACGACTAATTAGATTTTTTTGAAGAGCTTACCATAATTTGTTCCTCATTCGGCTGTTGAATTTCTCCGGATATTTCTCTCGCATAGCATGGAAGCGATGAGCGATTGATGCATCCTAGACCGAATGAGCTTGGGTACTTATAAACTCTAATATAGTCCATAAACATACCACTCCTATACTGAAGTAATTGTTGATAATATTGTAAGGTTGTGGGTCACCCTTCTCCTCTTTCTTTTTGTGTTTCTCTTTTGGCATAATTTTTATCGACCATCGGTCCATGTCAATCTGAAGAAGCAGGAAATAACATCTACTCTTTAATAGAGTAGTAACAGCATAGTCTTACAGTTGTGGCTTTTTCTATTTGCAAAAGAATTTTGTACAAGCTCTCGTTTTCATATCCTCCTCCCCATCTTAGGCATCTTGCCAAGTCATTTCCAGTTCCCAAGGGGAGCACAGCCACAGGAGGTCGTCCATGAACAAACAGATCTTCCATTTTATCTGTGACTAGCTGGCTTACCCGGCTCCGCCGTATCCGGACCAAACTTGGCACACATACACTTCGGGCCCCGGCGGGAGTCACAGTCCACTTTTCGTTATCGATCGATGTCGATTTTACCGATTTTTATCGATTTTTTGCAGAGTTCACCTACAGGGCTAGGAGTTGGCACAGGGGGGAAGTGAGCATGGGGATTCCGAATACAATATTAGTTTTCAGAATTATCGATTGCTTTTATTGATTTTATCGATTTTTTGGCAGAGTTCACCTACAGGGCTAGGAGTTGGCACAGGGGGGAAGTGAGCATGGGGATTCCGAATACAATATTAGTTTTCAGGATCGTCCATTACTTTTATCAATTTTATCGATTTTTTGAAAATTTGAGCTAGGGGGCTGGAATTTGGCACAGGGGTGTTCGAGCATGCTGATCACCCCCCTTGGGGATGATCAGCATGCTCGATTACCCCCCTGTGCCAACTCCCAGCCCCCTAGCTCAAATTTTGCAAAAAAATCGATAAAATCGATATCGATCGATGACGAAAAGTAGCCTATGACACCCGCCGGGGCCCGTAGTGTATGTGTGCCAAGTTTGGTCCGGATCGGTTCAGAAATGGAATTTTCTATTCGGAACATACGTACACACAGACATACATACAGACAGACAGACAGACAGACAGACATACAGACAAACAGACATTCAGTTTTATATATAAGATTCCATTGAATATTATTTGGAGTCCATTGGGTAAAACTAACCCATCGATTCAAGCACCCATCCAATAGTCCCGTCACCCCCACAAACTAAGATATTGCAGTTGCTGACTGATGAGAAGAGGTGGAGACTGAAATGAGACGATAAAACCGTGGTCTAGATTTACAAAAAAAATGGACACAATAGCATGCTATGAAAAATAGCATAAAACTAGATTATGTTAATGAAAAATAACCTATGTAAAAAAATTAGTTAAACGAGAATGACGTCCTGTAAATGCTACTCATTCGATATTAGAGAAAGAAAACATGAAAGTGAAAGTCATAGATGTCATAGACAATAAAAAAGAAACTAAAGTTGATGTGGAAATTTCGTATCGCTAGAGATGTACCAAATGAACTTTTCATCAAAAAAATTGAAATCGAAATTTTCTGAGACACTATATCACCCTGCCTCCGTTTCTTTCCCTCATAAACAGAGTATAAAACCTCCGATATATTCCCAAAACTCCTCAGAAAAGAAATAGAGCCCAGAAAAGTCGAATTTTTTGCGTATCATATTTAATCTGTAAATCGTTGGATCTAACAAAAGTTCTACAGCAGTGACTCACCCAGGCTCTGGTCCGGTCTTCGATAAATCGTAAACTTGTCTAGGATTCAAAATATAAGCAAATTTCTGCAATATCCTTATTCCCTGCTTTCCGCCGCTTTTTGGATTAACAAGCACCAGCAGGGGTCTCGTGTGGACTCCGGGACTCACTGCCTAAATTTCCAGTCATAACTCCATTTAGCGTTACTATTTATGTAGTTGATGCCCACCTGTAACAAGCTCTGCCCGTTTGTATGCTTCCTGAAAGAGGAAGCCTTACGCTCAAGAAATGCTGGGAAAATATGAGTAGGTGGCAAAGTATGGTAAGAAAGAATTCCTAGATCACATTCTTGAGACAAAGCGGACATACAGCGATGGTGAACCTGAAAAGTAAGAAATCCAGATTTACTTCGGAATTTCCTTGCCTAATCTTTCAAATTTTTAAGTGTAAATAAATCCTTCTTATGGATAAAGATACATAGTTAAATTTCTTCCATTTTTAGCAAAGCACACATAAGATTTTTGCATTTTCTACTGCCTTATGTCAAGATATTAGGTCGTTCCGAAAGTAATGCCGTTTTTTTTTCAAACGTACACCACATCTCGTGGAACAAAGATGTACAAGAGATTCTGGTAGCGTTTGATGCAGCATTTCATTCTCTTTCTAATGGTTGTAGTCTCATTGCAGAATTTTCAATGAGCTTTTGAAAAATTACCAAAATCTGCGACACATGCTTTTTGAGAAGGCCAAATTTCACAAATTTTCTAAATTTTTATAACAACCCTCGGAGGGAGTCCAAGTAACAGATGGATAGAGCAAATTCTCCAGAAAACAGCACAGCTTTTTTCTACTATTCAGAGCTCGTCATAATTTTTATATAGACTTTTTGATGGAACAACCGAATTTCAGCAGGCTCGTCTCAGACACAAATGCATAAAACGCCAATAAATTTTCGGATTTTGGAACTGACAAAGATGGTTTATGGTTTGACACAAATTTTACAAACCAAATGAGCATTCACTGCTTCAAATTAACAACTTTAGAAAATGCCGGGTTCAGCTCAGGGCCCGGCACAAGGTGGGCAAACGGGGTTTTCCAAAACGAATACCCCTTTGATCCCAGTAAGTTTTACGAATACTCCCTTGAGCCCAGAAATGACGTTTTGTGCTTGTGCGACGAGATTACCGGCCACACTTCGCCTAAAAGCGCTCAAAAGCGCCCAAATTGCTCAAATTCCTCATATTACTCAAATTGCTGTACCAAGATAGGAAACAGGAAGAAAAATAAGCAGTAAAAAGGATTAAGGAATGAGAAAATATCAAAGAAACGCAGTCATAGGAATGAGAGACGCCGTTCCCGCGCGTATCGATTGACTGGGGCGCGCTTTCTATCTTAGAAAGCTGGGCTGCTGATGCCATTTTGGGCTCCAACAAGGACAAGAGGAGGAGTTTCGGAACCAAAATTTCACCATGTAGTAAACTTTAGGTGTACAACAGATTTATGTAAAAATTTTGAGAAAATTATGTGAATTGAGAGTTTTGCCGACCTCAGGTGGGAATTAGGTCGGCAAATGCCGACCTAATTTGGAAATAAGTTAAGGAAACTCTTCATTCACATAAGTTTTTCATAATATTTCATACTTTATTACTTAGTCCTATTGCGCATATGCACACCGAAGCCCGCGCGATTTCGTTACCTCTGCGTTGCAAACGAGCCATTTTTCCATTTCTTTGGTAGCGCAAAATTTCCAGAAAAAAGTTTGCCACAACCTTCAGTCACATAATTTCTCAATGAAACTCCTCAGTTAAGTCCTGCAAGCAGTGTGCATGTACTTACCAAGTTTCATACCATATCGTTCATCTGCGCTTTCCAAACAAGCCGTTTAAATTCACAGTTTCATTTACCAGTTTTGCGAAATTCTCGGAAAAAATGCTATTTACTTGTTCCGTTCACATAAGTTTTTCATAATTTTTCATACTATGTTTCCACTAGCCTCTGTCCGTTCGCACACAAAATTTGGTGCCATATCGTTACACACACATTGAGAACTAGTCATGTTTGCAGTTACAAATAGCATCGCTTGGGCGACGTCGCGCGTGCGGCACTTAGCGACGGCGCGGTTTGACGCGCGCGAACTCCAGTGTTCGCCTGTTGAGGCGCATAACATGTCAAGATAAGTAGCGAGCATGAACTACCAATTTTTTTCCGGGGCTCTGCCCCGGACCCCGCAAAAACGATTTCCCCTTTGCTTTTTGGCCCCAGAACGATTTCCAGCTTGTCATTTGCCGACCTCGTGCCGGGCCCTGGTTCAGCTTGGGGCGCCCTGAAAAATCTGAACTTATGATGATTTTATCCCGGAGAACTTGATGAATCGGAAACAAAAAACAATTCTTAGAAAGAAGGAAAGCTGCGATAAATGACACCCGAGTTGCTTGCCGATTGTTATTCAGTGAGGTTTGATTTGACCAAATATGGGACTTGATGGCATTATAAATTGATCTTAGAAACTTTAAGAAGCTAGCTAAGGATAAGAGAAAAATTACCCTGTGTCCTATAGTGTTTGCTCTATCCATCTGTTGTTTGTACTTCTTCGGAGAATAGGTACAAAAATTTAGAAAAATAGCCGAACTTGACCATGGCAGAAAGCATGAGTTGCAGAACTTGGTAATTTTTCGAGAGCTCATTGAATAGTATGCAATGAGATTACAACCATCAGAAAGAGGATGCTGCATCGAATGCTTCTAAGAACTCTTGAAAATCTTGATTCCATGAAATGTGGCGTTCATTTGAAAAAAAGCGACATTACTTTCGGAACGACCTAATATATTTTTTCATAATTGGTGGAGCATTTAAAACTTGCATAATTGCGACACCATCGACAACGCTTCCCTTGGAAAGGTGATACTGTTGCTCGACATTTTGCACATTTTGATGTTGAGTTCCCGTCTTGCCAATGATGATACATTTTATCTCAAAATATGTAATTTATTGATTTTTATAGCCAATCAAAATTTCTAGTAACCTTGTAATCTATTCGAGTAGGTACGAATACAATTGTTTGCTGCGCTACGAACACATCTCTCGTGAACTGTGTACTTGCACACTAAAAACCGAATTGTAATAAGCTCCTGTTTTTGTTTCAAGTTTTCAAATTGAAAGAGATAGATATGTACTAAAAAACCCACAGCAACAACTAAGTCCCTGCTTTCCACCCCAGCCAACGAGCACGCTACAGCAGGCATTACAGTACGTCGGTTTGCTAAAGTGTCGCAATCTCCACGAATGTGAGCCATCTTCTTTCATTTCCTAAAATGGAACACAATATCGAAAACCTCCCACGATTCATCTATGCTTTTCTCAAGTAATATTAAGACATGCAAATGATATAGCAACGATAATTGTAGTAGTGTTGTAATAATAATTGTTCTTAAACGATTTCAAAACTTAATGAATATTTCTAGCAAAATTACTGAAAACTGCTCTTGAAATGATTCTTGAGTTTTTCTCCTACTCCGTTGCATGAACGTTTGGGTCCAGCCCTTTATGTTATGTTATGATTACATTTATAGACCCTTTTCCTTAAATTTAGAACTGAAATGAAGTACTGGACTCGTTTTCAAAAAACATGAAATCTGATGATCTTACAGACCTAAAATCCAACCTCTCTTGTGAGATAAAAGTTGGGCACTAAGTGGTTGCTACAAAATGCTCCACAAAAAAGTTTCCCTAACTCTCCACAGTATACATTTTATGCTTGTTCTCATCCCCCCCCCCCTCCTAATTTCCCAAACTGTGCTATGGTAGTGATGTTCGGGACCGAATCACAATTGTAGAAAATTTAGTTCCCTCCTTCCCGCTCAAGCACACAACATGAGGGGGGGGGAGGAGTCTGGTAGGTTTCACAAATGCAGCAGTGTTGATCTATAAGGGAAGAATGAGTCAAAAATTGTGAGATCCAAATTTTTGTCGGTTTAGGATGTAATCACTTTGCTCGTAATTTATGCACTGCAGCAATTTAGTCAGCCTAGAAATAACTGAATATTTCTGTTTAGAAAAGTAATCGCAACAGTCAATGATCATGTGCCTAAAAAGTTGAGTTATTTATTCTGCGCAAAAATAATTTTCAAAAATCACATGAGGAGAAATTTTTGAATGTTTGATGCTTTCTGAAAAAAAAGTTCCACTATGGAGACTCCCTCATCTCATATCATTCAAGCTATTTGTAAACAAAGATTTTTGTCTATATTTTTCAGCACCAAACTGCTCTTACCGTATCAACACCTAACAGGACTAAAAGTGGAATGTTTGTGAGTCCTCCTCTTCTCCACTCTTCCAGTGAAACGATTCCATCGTTGTCGTAATCGATGTCTGCCATCAGCTGGCGCAAGATCTGTAACAATACAAGTGCAATAAGTGTGAGTCCACGTGACGTATGAAAAACATTCTGCTAAGTTTTTGGCAATTGGCCAGCTGGAAATAAATCCAGCACCTGTTCTAACTCTATGGTATCCCATTGCTGATATCGTGCAACATTCATCATTTGCTCGATGATTCCGTCGATCTCCCTCTTGTCGAGAAAACCATTCGCATCCGAGTCATAGACGTGAAAAACCACTAAAATAACATGGTGAGTCAATTCAAAATCGGATAATCCTTTATTATGCAAGTGCCAACGCACCTTCGAGTTTGTTTTCGGCTGTATCAGCTTCTAATAATGATAATGTACAGATAAGCGGTTTAAGTCCGATGCGCAGTTCTGAGGGGGCGCGAGCAGAATTATGTGGATGAGCGTCTGTGGTAGGCAATTGCTGAGCTTCCGGAACATCTCGCGGAGGAGGAGCAGGAGGCTCAGGAGCACCTGTGAATAATTCCCAATCAATTCCACGAAGCAATTATGGAGATAAAATAATTTTATTCGTAATGATTTCGCTGATAATCCTTCAGAAAATGTTGAGCACACCGAAAGACCAAAAGTTTGAGGACTGCAGTTAAAATAGAAATTTATAATTTTTCTTCATTTACTCTTTGCGAATGGGTGCGCCACCATGTCTGCAACGTACTAGACGATCAAGCAAAAAGCATAGAATGGAGATTTAGGGGAAAAAGCTTGTATTTTTGCGTTATAATCATTTGATTTTAGTTTTACTTTTCATTTTGCATATATTTGCTGTAACGACTCGCGTAGAAGATTCCTTTTCCAAAAACTTTCTGGTGTGGGCAGTGATGCTTATATAGTGTGGACCCCGGCCAGCTTCCCATAAATACCTGCGCGACGCACCCGCAACGCATGCCTTCAGTGCGTCTCCTGCCCCAGCTTCTGATGGAAATCCTCCTTTCTCTCTTTTTTTTTGTTTTCGGTGTACTATATTCTCTCTATTTCAGGTACAAACATTTCGCGATGACCGGTGATGAGATTAATGTGCTCTGATATGTCTAAGAGGCTTCAATCTTGTGTAGTAGTCTTGTGTTTTCCCTTTCTCTGAAAAATTGAGATTTGATTGGATATTAAGATAATATTCTTTCAAAAGCTTCTTGTATAAAATAAGAGTCCCTTTCGGTTTGATGGGTAAGGTGTAGACAGTGTCTCAAATCAAAACTGAGCCTTCCGAGAAGCCAATAGGCATTGAAATGTCCACTTTTTTTTTGAAATCTTTGACCACTCTAGTTTCTAAGTCTACGAAGAGAAATGTAAGAATGCTGTTGTTCTTTAATCTACGTATACTTATTACAAACTATCCATCAGTGCAAGCTCGGAATATGCATCCATTGATTGGATTTGAGGTACTCATGGAGGTTGCCTGCGTTTCATTTCTTGCATACGTCTCTTTGGAAGTGAACCTAAAGGTTTTCAATTTACATTTTTCTCCTTTGTGAGCATAAATATGCTCTACTGCTCATGAGTGAGGCGAGAGGCATTGAGAAGGGCGCGTGCTGCGTGCGCGCTGCGGAAGTACCTATGGGAACCTGGTCGGGGTCCACACTATAATAGTAATTCTTCTTGTAGATTCAGTATACAGGGTGTCCCAAAAGTAAGTATAGTCGTCCTCACCCCACTAGTCCGGTGGACGATTTCGAATTTGAAATGGAGCAGGCAGGTCGCGACAGAGCGTGGCATGGTCCCCCCCCCCCCCCTCGTATGATTTTGCGTGTTTCTTTATCGTTTTTATTGGCCGTTACTTGCTAGTCTCTATACTGTAAGTATGTTTGTAGAAAGTGCCAATTTTGTGGTTGTCAGAAGTCGTTTCGTGCTTCTAAGCTCGTTTCTTCAACTCCGATTGCAGGTATGCCTGGAGAAACGATACAGATGGTGAACTTAAGCTGTAAAACCTTTCTTAGCAAGTAACACATGCAGAAGCGTTGCTCCAGTGAACTGTATGCTTCAAATCTGCCATCTGTATCGTCTCCAAAAGCTCATTTAAACAAAATACGAGGATAGCGGCAGGACACAACCCTCAGCAATTACAAAAACTCAATATAGGTCAAAAACTTTGAGACAATACCAAAAACTTTTGAGCAATGGCGAAGAAAAACGCAAAGTGACTGCGTGAATTTGAACGGAGAGCTAAGGTGCCATGCTCTGCCGCGACCTGCCTGCTCCAGTTCGAATTCGAAATCGTTCACCGACCGACTAGTAGGGTGAGGACGACTATACACACTTTTCTACCATCAATATACAGGGTGTCCCAAAATAATGTGCACACTGTTTGATTTTGAATAACTCTCTTATTATGAGGTCTTTCGAGAAGCGGTAAGCGCCATTTTGTAGAGCTGGCTTCAACTTAGATTTAAGTATAGAGTGAATCACCGATCGCTCTTCATTACTGTAGGATTACGGTAGAAACTTGGAACGTATGGTGTCACTGTGGAAAAAGCTGCCGTTTCAAAAATTTTCAAAAAGATGTGAGAACTTGTGTTATAGAGTTTTTAGGGACGCTGAGTTTAATACTCAACTATTCTCAAAATTGCGAAGCTTGCTAAACGGTGTAACCGCGCTTTTTAGGAACAGTGAGAAAATGGCCGCTGCTGCTTACTTCGCATAGCTCTTCAGTAAAGCATCATAATAAGTTGGGAATTTTACACTTAGAATCAGCAACTCTAATTGGCCTAGTGTAAAAGTTTTCAGGTTGTGTTGATTCCTTTCTGAGGCAAAATATGGCCTTTCATGGCCCAAAACCCTCTTTCAAGTTTCTACCGTAATCCTACAGTAATGAAGAGCGGTCGATGATTCGCTCTATAGTGCGAATCTAAGTTAAAGCCAGCTCTATAAAATGGCGCTTACCGCTTCTTAAGACCTCATAATTAGAGAGTTATTCAAAATCAAACAGTGTGCACATTATTTGGGACACCCTGTATATCTCTCTTCCCAATGAGTCTTTTTTTGCCAGTCAAGTACCATTCTGTAGAAAAGGCTTTTCAGTTTAGATTTACAGTATCGATCGAATCACCAATCGCTCTTCTTTGTAATAGGATTACAGTAAGAACTTCGAGCATGTGAATCTATTGTGAAATATGCCATCTAACAATTTTTTTCAAAAAATCTGAAAAATCGTGTACTAGGGTTTTCGCGCACGCTGATTCCACTACATAACTTTTTACGAATGTTTTCAGCTTGACAGTGTAATCACATTTTGACAAATACTGGAATTTCGGTTATTACGGTTTACCTGAGATAACTTTGGAAAGAAGCATCACAAAAAAAGGGGACTTTCATACTCGAAATCAGCGTCTCCCACTACCATTAGTATGAAAGTTTTTGGCTTGTTTGGTTTTGCTCCGAGGCAAAATATGGCTTCCAATGGCCTGAAATCCTTGTCGAAGTTCCTACAATAATCCTACAGTAATGTAGAGCGATTGATAGTTCGGTCGATACTGTGTATCTAAGTTGGAGCCTCCTCTACAGAATGACACTTGAAATGGGAAGAGAGATATTAACGATTGAAAAATGTATACTTACTTTTGGGACACTCTATATATATGTATATTTGAATTGTTATACGCCGCCCGTATTCTTCTTTATTTCCTGACTAAACCTTCGACGACTTATTCATTTTTCATCAGAAGTTGGGGTAGTGATTCTCCGCTATATCAATTGATACACCACAATAGAAACCACAAAAAAAGCTTTATATACTCAACGATTGCTATAGCTGTTGCATATTAGGGGCAATTTATCCAACGTTATCTCCGACTCATTCCTTTTGACGTTTATCAAAGCAAGTGAGCCACAATAATGCGGATAAGTTATTACAACACTAATAGTTTTTTAGAAAACTTAATTCTATCAACTTTCTCACTCTGACACAAAGTAGCACGTCGAAAAATGTTGGTGACTAACAGGTTAGTACGTATTTGCGTTGTAGAATTGATCACAAAATCTATAAAATGAAAAAAAAAGCATCCAGTTCTCTAATTAGAAAAAAACTCGTACAAGAGATAGTTTCTGAGTTTTAGATGTGATCATCAGAAAATGTGTTTCATTATGCTACTGGCGAGAAGAGTAGTCATACATATTCGTCTAATAATCTTTACGGATATGTCATATGTAGGCAACATTATTGTGGCTTAAAAATGATTACACAAAGATTATAACTAAAATGAAAACACAAAAATTGCAATTTAATTTCAATTTCCATTCCAATCTCTGATCACGACTTGAGATTCGTAAGTATGGCATACATTTGAAAAACTCCATATTGATTAGCTGTTGTTTAGTTAGGTTTTTGTGGTGTGACAGTATCAGTCCTTTAGAATCAAATATCAAAGAATTACTATCACCAATGAAAATTATATTTGACCTTATACGGCTAATCTTTCAAAGAATTGGAGACAACTAACCCTCTTCGTAGATGTTCTCTAATGTCGTACCATCGGCTTCAAGTGCTAGCTTCTCAAGTTTGTGCAAATTATCCGTGATTTCTGCACGCACTACAGAGATGGCCTTTTCTAGAACACTCGTTCGTCGCTCTGCAAAGTTTTTACATATCCCACTGCAAATAGTGCATCTGAAGATATGCCATTTATAGTCAGAACCATATTTGTGCAAGCAGCAATTAGAGATTAGATGCTGCAAAACAAAACTTCGCCGAACACCATATGAACTCTAGTCAAGAAAAGGTGATTGTAATATTTACGGATCATATATATTCGGTTGCATAAGGTGTAATCTATCAATTTGCGCAAATTCTGCAAACTCAGGAATTTTGTTTTATCATACTAGGTTGATGCATAGTTCTTGCACCAAAATTTTGAAATGCTGTTAGTTTCTCCAGCTTCAAAGAAATCTTCTGATTCGATAGATGATAGCGAGAGGAAATCGTGCGTTTTTCAGAATGTGCTTAAGCTGGTTTTCCTAGGGCATATGGCAACGATACAAGTCAATTAATAAAAATCCCCAAAAAGTGTTTTTCCGCTTTTGGTTATTAAAATTGCTAAAACGTTTACTGAAATCTGAATTTATTTTTGGTCTTGTTTTAATGACCTACTCTTTTTGACTAACAAAGGGAAGGTTACTTGGTTTAAGTGGCGTTTCCTTATGATTATATTATTATATTATTACTGTTCTATAGAGCATGGAAAGCTGATTTGAAATCTGCTCTTGGTACCTGCAAAGCGCTTCTGGGAAAGGAGTTACGAGAATTTTTCAAGACAAAAACCTAACAAGGGAATGGTCAGAATTCGAAGTGGCCAAACCAAACAAGCTGTATATCATTCGATGCGGTATAAAACACTGACTTCGAATATGTCTTCTTTATCTGCATATTGCTTCTGTGGACGAAGCTACAAGCAATTTTATTGTGAAAAAATCATACACAAAAACAGCGAAATTGATCACATTGTTGCACCTTTACCTCAGCTTTAGGCCTTAAGAATTTGAAGTAAGTTAGCTGCATGTTTTGGTCCAGCTTTAAGCCGAACGTGCCTCTGTACGGCTAAATTTTCATTTTCACGCATAATTTCTTAGCAAAAAAAGGCCTTTAATGACTTATAGCTTCGTCCAGAAAAGTGATAAGCAGATAAAGAAGACATATCTAGAGTCAGCGCTTCATGCTACATCTCACGGTATGCGGTTTGTCTGAATTGGCCACTTCGATTTCTGAGCATTCCCTTGTAAGCTTCCGGCCAAGGTAAAAAAACAAGTGTTGAGGTCTTTCCAACACTTCAATGGAGTAGTGACTAGCATAATTCTGCTAGGCTCAAAGTAATAACGGCATGTAGCGCTTTGAGAATATGACATTTGAGCTCAAGGGTCACAGTTTTGAATGATTTTACTGTAGCTGCACGTTGGAATTTTTGCCTCACAAAATTCCCATAACTCTCCTCCCAGAAACGCTTTGCAGATAACGAAAACAGATTCGGAATCGGCGTTCCATGCTCTTTCCCATAGAGTTGCCACTTCGATCAAGTATCCTCCCCTTGTAAGAAAAGTTGGTAATGATTGGATGCTTCTAAGAATAGTTATGAATGTCGATTCTTTCTAATCGATTGATTTTGTTTTTTTGATTTTCCTGAATGTACTGTAAATGCTACTTTTGACACACAAAACATAAGCATATTGCGTAAAGTGAATATTTTGCTTAAGCATTTTCGAAATGATCTTTCAAAATCTTTTGGTGCAAGAATTGTGCATCAACCTAATAGCTTGTAAGCTCAATATTCAACGTGTTTCATAATACTTAGTGATGAAAAGGTGGAGTTATCTACTAGATAGCTAAGGATCCTCCAAATTCCCAACGCCACCTTCTTTACATTTTCGACCGCTTTATGAAACATCCACCTCCATTTGTATTGCTATGCAAAACTAAAAGAGGGAAAGTGCTAGGATCAGACCCGTAAAGGAAGTACGCAAAAATCGTAAATGGAGGAAAAGAATGAGTAAAAAATATGATTGGGTCGCATATCACACGGAGAAAATGCCAATTCATGTTTTCTCTTTTCAACTGTAGGGTTAATCTTTGCAGTAAGGTCTCAGTTACAATCAACTATTCTTCTGTTAAAAGCGTATACATAAGCTTATCAAAAGTGTTCACAGAACAGACACTTCTGAGTGCCAAAATTAGTTCTACAACGAGGAAAGACCTAGTAAATTTGAAATTAAAATTTATTAAAAAAATTAGTAAAATTTAATTTTTGTTTTGTAAAAAAATGGTTAGAAAACCCTAACGACAACTGGGCATTGGTTTGTCGAGAACTATTAGGTTTGCCGAAACTATCGGTTTTCAGCAGTCTGTAGAAATGTCACAATTAAATTTATGTGTAAATGTACGTATGGTACCGTTGGGGAGAGTAAATCAAGCAGAACCGGAATCTCAACTTCGTTCGCTCAAAAAAAATTTTGATAAAATGGTACAGAAAAGTAAAAAAGTCAGATTATTTCGTCAATACCTAAAATCATGTGCAAAAAGCAAGCTGATATTGGGCGTAATGTGCACGAATGGTAGGCACAGTTACGATTTTGACTCTCAACTATTTGCATGGCCATACATGGTCAAATTCAAGCGATCTTGATTAGCAAAATTCATGCAAAATAACTGGCCCATCAACCCCGAAACGTCACAAGAAACTCACAGTGGCAGCCACTCCCCGAAAAGATTTTTTTTACAAATCTAATAAAGTTTATTACTAACACCGCCTGGTGCAAAAAGTTATGAAATCATTCGAGAACATGCAGAGGAAGGGGAAAGAAGCCCTTAGAGATTATCCGCTACGAGACTGCGGCGATAAATTTGACACGATGGAAAACTTGCAATTGTATTGTTGACAAAGAGTGACAAGTTTTTTTAGTATGTCACAATTCTGGAAGTACGAAAATAATAAAAGAAAGTATCACATAGCCGTTTTGATTTCAGACAAATTTTTATCTGCCTTCAAACAGCTTCAACAATAATTTCTGTCATTTTAGCTCTGTTGCAAAGCTCGTGCAAATGGAAACTAACCAGTAGTTGGAGTTTTTGAAAATGATAACGAGAGTTGGTGTATGAGTTCAGCAGGTAAATCTGCTTCAAAATACTCAGCGAGGAAAGTTTTGAAGCCTTCCATATTGATGGTTTGATTACCCTAAAAGCAACTGCATCATCGAATACACCAAACAAGGAGAAAACAACCTGCTCATCCAGATCAAGGTATGCGTAAAATTTTCCCGTTGGTTGAAATTCGACAAGCATGTCTTTGAGCCTTCGATTTGAGTCTGCAACCGAAGTTATAACATCAAGGTGGTATCTGATTATGATATAAAATAACAGATTCTTTATTATAATTGCTTTTTGCTTTTTATTTTTCGATAATGCATGTGACCCGTGCTAGATTAGATATAACTTCTTTTACCACTCTTATCATGAAAGTTGGAGCTTTTATAAAAGTGTGCAAAAAAGGTCCTTGAAGGAATACTCGTATCTTACACACGCGTTGCCGAATTACCCAAGATTCCCCAAGAATTATCAAGCGCAATTTTATGTGACTTCTTGACTTCTAAGAATTCTTTGCAAGAGAAAAAACTTCGGTGAGGTGGCGAAATGACGTGCAGTGTACGAGCACTATAGACACACGAGAAATAATTATTTATCAGTGATATTTGTAATACTACTCTTGATCATCGAGTCCAATTTAAGCAGTGTCATTCAGTAGATGGACTTTCAGAATGGTCATGTGTAAGCCGGTAATCAGTCGTAAGCAACAGATTCCTTTACTTGTGTCAATTTTAATTTTCCAATACTACATGAAAACTCTTAGAGAGCTAGGTTAGAAACGAACTCAGTATTTATCTAAGACACTCTTTTGTTACGGATAAATTTGTTCGAAATTCAACCTAAAATAGCCAGAGAGGATTCAAAGGCAGTGGCTAGAGAATGCAATTACGAGCTTTCCATCCTTCTCTGGCCTTCTAGATGCGCTGAGTTCAAGGTTTTGCTTGAAAAGTCGAAAATGTGTTTTTCACGGCGTTTTCCGGTCTTGGAGATTTTTGGAAGGGAGGTGCGAGGGATTGCCGCCTGAGCCGTACAGCCAATTACCACCAAAATTGGTGGAGTTACAGTATTCTGCAGCCACTCACGGTTCTTGCGGGAATTCCTCGCTCAGCCCCTCAGCAGTCTCCAAGACCGGAAAACGCCGAAAGTATTGTTTGACTTTAAGCACAGTCTCGGACCCAGCGGATCCAGAAGACCATGTAGATCCTGAAAGCTCGCACTCGCAATTTTCCCGAAATACTGCCTTCAAATAGTCATTTTTTGCATTGCAGATGTGTTAACCAGTAATCAAGATTTTTTATCACAATGTTTTTTACCCTTTTTTGCACACAATAATTGGAGTTGTGAGACAAACAGGTGCGAAAAACCGCAGTCGATGAACAAATCTTATCACAATTACTTACAGGAAGCATATTCGCTGAGTCTTGAGAATTGATCAGGCGAGAGCAACATTTTGATAGACGAATTGGCTAGAGCTAGTTGCTCATCAGCTCGACGGGACGATGCCGACCGACGGTCCCGTGGTGGATGAGTGTTCTATATCGCTAGTTGTGTGTGTGACTCTATCGATATGCGGATTAGCGGAGATTAGGGACAAGACGGCAAGGCTTCTTCTTTTCATTATACACACTCGATGTGCTGCTCAGGTATCAACGCAACGCTTTTTAGTTGACGATGTGTGGATGGACAGAGAGGTGCGTGGGATGGCAATGTAATGCATCGTTTGTGAAAAAGGAAAACAGGCACTTCCCGCAATTAGCGTTAATGGCTATTTTCTGCTCACAACGAGTAATTCTGATATTCTATTCGTGAGATAAATAATGTCACTTAGAGTTTACTCTCAACCTTTCATGTTTTGCATCAAAAAGACATTCGAAAGGTAACACTGCAGAAGCTTTCATCAACTAATTATTCTTATGTGTCTAAAGGCCTCAATTAGTAACACAGCGATTGTAGAAGTTCTTCCTTACGAGGTTTTCTATTAAATGGTTACAAGGGAATGATCAGAAATCGAAGTGGCCAATCCAAACAAGCTGCATACCGTATGCAGCATAAAATGCTGACCTATGTGGGCGAAGTTATGAGCAGCTAAATGCCGTTCTTTTTCTAGGAAATCGTGCATGGAGAGTGCAAATTTGGCAGTAGAGAGTCATGTTCGGCTTAATGCTGGGTCAGAAATGTAGCTAGGTCACTTTATATTCTTAAAGCTTAAAACGCGGGGCATACTTCACGCGATTTCATTCGAGACGAGATTTGGCGATCTGCCAGGATTGTCAGTTCCAACACTAGCAAACTGGACATATATAGTGTGTATAACTTACGTGGATTGACAAAAATTCTCTATCTTCTGTACATTCACAATGTGTTTACAATGAGTTATGGAGAGTCGGAATATTTTCAAATCGCGTCGCGACTAAAAACGCATGAAGTATACCCGGCCCTCAAAGGTGAGTGCAACAATGTGCTCAATTTCGCAATTTTCGTGTACAGTCGCTTCATTTCATATGATCATGTGTGTCATTGCACGCACAGTTCACCTTTGGCGTCCCCATCCTGGATTCGTGGGAGAAACAAGCCTTCAGGTAAGTGTTTTCAGGGTGTTCTTAGCATTTTCTTTCCTTTTCAATTACTATTCACCTCAAATTGATGTAATCGATAACAATCGGTGGTCTCTTGCGTTTTGGCGATTGCAAATCCAGGATGAGGACGCCAAAGTGGACTGTGTGTGCAATGGCACACATGATCATATGAAATGAAGCGACTGTACAAAATTATTTTCGCAAAAAAAACTGTTTATAACTTCGTCCACAAAAGCTCTAAGCAGATATGGAATACAGATTCGAAATCAGCGTTGAATGCTGCATCGAATGGTAGGCAGTTTGCTTGGATTGACCACTTTGACTTTTGACCATTCCCTTGTTAGCATCCAACATTAGATAAAGTTGTTCTGAAGTGTAAATGCTCCTCCATTATAAACAAACATTTTCCTTGTCTTTAGATTTGACTGAAATTTCAAATTTTCCTGTGAAGTCAAAACTAATGTGGATTGTTACCATACTCACTACGCACCTCAAATGAGCAAATATGTAAGCGAACATAAATATAGATGACAAATATAACATTGTATCTTGGATTAAATATATAACATATTTGCAAAGCTAACCAGCTTTTTTACAGGAAAAAGCTTCTTCTTCCTATACTACTCATGGAAATAACTATGACATGGTACTATGCTACAATATTTGCTCTTTAAGCGTATTTATTGAGAAGTGTAAACAAGCTGAGCTTTTTGCAATTCATCGTATTATCGAGCAAATGCAAGAACAGCGGTGATTGTCGCTATAAGAGTCGAATCATAATGAGACTCGTGATTGACTCGCATTTCCTCCTCCAAATTGAATCTGAGGCATTATGAGCTGAAACACCTCTGCTAGCTACGGGAGTTGACCATTCATCACATCTACTCCTACAACGGCCTGATAGTGAGGCCTTGTCAATTCGAGAGGAATAAAATTATAAACGGAATGAAATGAGAAAGCCACTTCGACCAACCTTCCTTCCCTTGTGAGTTTCAAAAACGAAGCGCAAAGTTACCTCTGAGTTAAAGGCAGTGAATCAGCATGATGGACCTCTGTCAGATTTTGGTAGTGTTGAGTAGTAAAACTCCCGAGTACAAAGTAGCCCCATTCCCACCCTCCAATTCAGGCGCTAAGTCTTAAAAAGGGCTTCAAAACTCCACCAATGATGCCCACTCAATGGAAGTGGGTGGGGCTAGTGGAGTTTTGAATCTCCATTACAGGACTTGGAGCTTAAAATGAAGGCTGGGATTGGAGCTACGGTGTATTCGGAGAGTCTACTAACACTACCAAAGTCTGATAGAGGTCCATTCTGCAAATCCAATGCCTTTAACGCGGAGCTTTGAACCGTTTCGACCAGCTGCCTACCCTGGTTTCAACTCTCAGAGATCACATGCACTTTGCAAATCCCTCTTTTGCAACCATTCAATCACTATTCTAACTTAATCGCTAAATTTAACTAGACACCAAATTCTTTTGAGAAACCTCTTATCAAATTTTCTTTTTCAACCTGCCACTACGTTGTCTGAAAATTCATCAGTAGTACGGAACTCTGTAAGAAATTCGAATGCTCATTAAAGGACCAAAAAATTTTCTTCAGGCGTGATTCTAGTGTAGTTTGAGTATTTCCTTTTGTAAGAATTCGGTAAAAAACAGGTTTAAGAAAGTTGAATAAGCTGCCCTGCTCGAGTGTCAAGCGTTTTTCTTTTCGAAACTCTCATCAGCCGAACAGTACTCCCTCACGAAGTACTCCCGAATCACTTATAACCATATGAAGCAGGATATTTTATCTCGAAAATGATTGGATTGAGCTGCTGCATAAATATTTAATAATTTATTAAGCTTCTTTCTTCTTACAAGTTTCAAAAAAAAATATTACATTTTATACAAACTTCCTATAACATTCGTATCTTGCTACGAATGAATCCCTTGCCCCACTTCAAAGCAAAATGTGCATACCGATTGCGATGCCTTCTGCTACAAAATCCTCTCATGAAATTCTCCTAGTTTTTTGGACTAAGAAAAGAAGGAAATCAACATTCCTTATATACAAAAAAGTGATTATAAAGTTAGATGCATCTTCAAACGTTGATTCCAAATCTGCTTTCGATTTTTGCGGAACAACCCTCCAAAGAAAGTTACGACCGTTTCCGAACTTCTCAAGTTTCAAGTGGCATAAATTTGGCGAAACTGTACAAAAACACGTGAAAGGTGGGTTATCATTCCAGAACGCGCAAAAAAGTGAGCATTTCCAGTATTCTGCAACATTCTCTCTTGACATTTCGTAAATCTGAGTTTGACGCAGCTGTTTATCAGGGCCACTGGCTACACAAATGAGATATTGTGTGCTGTTCTACTACATTTTAGAGTAAGTCATGCGCCCTCAAAGTAGGATTTTCAAAGAAATCTCTGGCCAGATAACAATATAAGGCCAATAATATAAGGTGTTATATAGCAAAGAGTTTGCTCTTTACAGAGGGCTTTTACAGTGCTCTGCAAGAGCATTTAAAGAGTTTTCTTTATTTATTCAATGAACCAGCAATCTCAAAAGTGCTAGTTGCAGGCGCGCTCGCTCCGGCCCTCTCGGTCTCCCGCTGTCTGATGATTTTTGAATGCACCTTACGATTCTTTACGTATTAGATAGATTAGATAGATATGATAAAGCAGTGAAATCAGCATACTTTTTGAATTTAACCATACTTCTAGGATGTCAGAAAGTACATTAGATTCCTGTATGGTGCCGAAATTCTATTTCTCTGGCATCTTTTTGTCACGACTTGTTTACTTCCTAAAATGCTCAAGTCTCTGCATTATCTGCTTCTAAAAGTCATGATTTGCTGTTCTATATTTATTTTTTCACCAAGCGAGTCCGATTCGACGAAGTTATTTGTAGTTACGACATCTCAAAAATAGGGAAAACTTTTGGAAATCCCCCCTCTCCGCCCAATACACCACGACGCAATTAAGTGTTCCTTTCAGCAATTTCGATCGCACCACTCCACGACCCTCGACAAAGCAAAAACCATAAGTGCTAATCAAGTGCATCTTCTTGTGATTACAAGAACGCTTCAGTGCAATCAAACAGGACGACAAAGAACGACTTGGTAGATTGGATATTTGCCAGTATTGAAAATATACATACAAAACTTTTAGTCTGTAGAGCAATAAATTATACCTCTCTCTATTGACTTGGTACTACTTTTTGCTGACACAATGTCTAAAGCCAGATAAATTTCTTTAAAAAAGTATTGTTTCCATTCCACCTTCCTTCCATAGTTAGGATGATGATAAATGCCAAAATAATGCCTAAAGTCTCAAACAAATCTTGTTTCGGATATTTTTCACTTCTAAAATCTCTGTCTGTGTCTCGAATCTCTCCAAGTTTCACTACTTCCTTTGGCTTCTTTTGCCAAGAAAAACAGCATGTTGATCACTGAGAATGATCAAAAAGCCGTCATAATAGTCCAGCTTTCTTCGAGTGCCGTGTTTGAAGGGGGAAGTCGAACCTGTTCTTCGCTGCTGTAAAAACAAATGCCTGTGCCAAAGAGAGCGTAGAGCTAATCTCCACTAAAACACGCTATACATGCCATTTCACCTTCTATAAACACACTGACGATTGCCCAAATCAAGTTTGTTCCTTACTGGGCCCGGGTCAGCTCGGATTTTTCTACCTCATCAATCTTTGTAGTGTTATAAGAAGCTTTGGCGATTCAACAATGCACAGGTTTGTCTGTTTTCAATGAATGCTTCTGCTCTTCGTCTTCTACCTTCTTTGCCGTTTGAAAATTTGTCATTCGAAATCCTATCCATAAGCATTGTACAAAAAAATCTGTGTACCTGACTTACATGGGTACTGATCAAAAGGTCTTAGTTTATCTAACGCTTGAGCTGCAGCTATATGTATTCTTGGTCGAAAGATACTTCTCTTAACATAACTCAAAAAATATTCCTGAGCGGACCAGTGAGAGTTTCAACTACGGTAGTGAGTACGGTATGGATTAAAATTTGGAATCAATATTTTGCCTAAAATCATGTAAGCTGTAATGGACAAATGCTTTAGCAATGACTTAAAAGCGGTGTCTCGGCAGAATTCCGTTCTCCAGATTTTAACCTCTTCGGAGCCTCTCGCAATAAGGAACCCATATCTGGGCTTTTCAGCGCATGATGGCGAAAATGAGCTTTTTTCGAAGCTTTCTAGGTCCCCTTCAGTGGAGAATACGTGCAAGTGAGCGGAGCCCGGAACGAGGGAGGCGGGGCGCGAGAGGCTTCCGGCCTATCTTCACTAAATCCTGACCTGATAAGCTTTGGAATAAGCTCATTTTTGTCATTTTCATGTGCTGCAAAGCCCAGATGGATTTTGCATGACGAGAAACTCCGAAGAGGTGAAAAATTGGAAAACGAAATTCTGCCGAGACATCGCCTTGCAACGCCTTCCAATTACTTACACATGATGATCCCAAGTAACCCAATTTCCCTGGACACAGCATTTATTGTTGGACAGCTTCCAATAGGTAGTGCCCAGCGTACCATATAAGCACAACCTGTGTCCAATCCTAATTCGAAATTTTTTATTCAGTTTGATGCGACTTGCAATGGCAGAGTTGCTATTCTCACTAGCCCTACGAGTAGAGGGCCAAGAACAATGCCCATCCCGATGCAGCCCACATATCACTTTGCCATGGTAGGTTTCCAATGTCGACTTTTTCAAGAATTCTGATTTTTTTTTCGAGATTGCTTGTAAAGAAATAACTATAACCTCAAGGAAACTTAGGCTGTATAAGAGCACTGGAATTTTTATGTCCAACTGTTGATCCTCAAACCATTTCTTGATTTTGTGCATCGACATGCCTACAACTACCGAAATTCAATCAATTTTGATGCTCTAACACGGTTCTGCATGATCTGCATGATTGAGACGAAGATGACTGTTCCACTTATTTCAAAATTTGCAGTGAAAAGTGGCTAGACACACGAAACTCGCTCACTATCTCACGTAAAAGTGCTTTGGTGGGTATAAGCTCCTGCAAGACGAAGGCGATCGGTTCGATGTGCAGCGCGGCTGCGACATGGCTGCGTCACAGCAGCGTCACAGCCGCGTCACAGCCACGTCGCACCTCGAACCAACCGCCTTCGTCTTGCAGGAGCTTATACCAAGTCATTAGGGGTAGACGAGTTGTGGAATAAGGTTTATCCGCACGGGCGTAGATTATTCGAGAAGAGTGTGAGGTGTCCTGGTGTGGACCAGGGAGCAACCCCTAATACATTCGGAGGCTCCTTATATACGAAGGAAGGCGGAGCTGAACCGAGTACAGGGTACAATGTACACGAGTTGGTGCTTGAAAGGAGATGCCGCCGATTGGCTACACTCCTGGCGCACGGGTACCACTCACTCTTGAGTGATTAGATACTCAAGAGTGAGTAGCTCACCATTTAGCCTACGGGGATTCCGTAGGCTATATAGAATACCAGTGCGTCACCTCTGCTTCGCAGAGGCTCGCACTGGTCCTACTCTATTTGCCTTACTTGTTCTCGCCTAATAATGTCTTTAAAACTCACCGTGCAATGACGACTATCACGAATAAAACGTAAACAGCTACTCATTTCAAAAGCTTTTTCATGTGAGATCGGTGATTTCGCGCGGATGAAACTTTTCGCAAAAGAACAAATGCAAATTCGAAGAGGTTGTAAAATTTCTTTTGGCTTGGTAGTCGTCATAAGGACAATAATTACCGTGAGCTATATCTATATGCAAAAATCTTCTCAAAGGCTCAGGTAAAACCACGGCGGATTGACCATTTATGCAACCAATTCTTTTTGGCACCGTTTTCGTTACGTAATAAACTTTTGACTACTTTTTGGGCTAAAGTCCATCGCTTGCACATTTGCTTACCAAACATACCCACGACTTTGCAAAAAGCTTTGATACGAACCCAATTTTGCGGGCCGGAAGCCAAGTGCATCAGCCTGGCGCGCAAATTCTGATGGACCCACCCAACGAATCCGCTCGTGCTTTCGTTTGGTGGAGTTTTACGCTGGTAGCATGCGTTATGCAAAATTTGGGCTCAGAACATTGGCTGGAACTCGCCCTATGAATTTCGTTACAGACAGACAGACAGACACACACACAAAGTCACGTAAACACCCTTAGCCCGTTATTATAAGTTATGATAGAATTCATGAATGGTTGATGATACAGAAATCATCAACACTCCGGGCGAGCGAGAGGAAAGTGAGATCTGATAAGATCCTAATTAGAGTAGCAGATACATGTGAAGTTGACTAGCGAATAAGTTAATACCTACGCATAAAAAATGAGCTATAAAGCAGGAGTTGCAAGTATCTTAAACATACACACAAGGGCACGATCATTTAGATAAAATGGTAATGGGAAAAGATCCTAGAGTGGTTGCTGGAGCTGTTTGACGGTTTAGCGCTGCTCGTCGTCCTCGCCATTTCCTCCTTTTCCATACTGAATCGATGGTAGATGATCCATTGATGACCATATCCTTGATAGAGGGCGTGCTTGCGCGATGTGTGTACTCATGATGTCTTCTCTGCGGTGTATTCGTCATCCTTATCTTGGCTTCATTATTTGTGAACCGCTGCGGTAGCCACTCCATCCGGTATTGGGCGCGAACATTGGAGTTCGTGGAGCGTATTGTGGCCAGCCAACGTTGTCTGTCTGCTCGAGCTTCAGCGAGAATGGAGGCAGTGACTGTTTGCCTTGTCAAGCTGGACTGTCGGCTGGATGAAGAACATGGTTGTAGTTTTGTTTGCAACGGAATCGTTCTTCTTTGGATTGTTCCTTTATCCTGTTTCGCCGATAATGGCTTGTTGCCCGTTCGTGTGTTCGCACTGTTGCGATAAGGGTACGTTTTGGGTTTCTTCAATCTCTCGTTGTGTTGTGGAAATGTTGGGCGGTTGTTCCTGAGGGTTTCCTTCAGCGTTGATATGCAGCCGAATGTGCCAACAAAACTTGATGTAGTGGCAGTGGGGCTCATCCCTGATATAACGTATCCAAAGATGGTTGGGGTCAGAATGAGGCCTGAAGGAAGCTTATGCACTCTGTCGTTGTGGAGAGTAACAAGGTTTAGGAGGTCTTGTCCTATGATCAGATCGGGTGAGACGCTTTTTGAGGAGAGCGTATCTTGAGCGATTATCAGCTTCTTATTAGAGATGAAACGCAAGTCTGCTTCCGTGAGACTTGCCGTTTGCATGTCGGTAGTCAGCTTCTGCTTGGTGTGCAATGACAAGTTCTTGAGCTTTTCGGAGCTGTAGAGACTTTTCAAAGTAATTTGTACTTCAGATGAGTCGAATCGTTCTTGTTGTTCGCCCATTCCAGATGTATTAAACGAAGTAGTACGAAAAGCTGGAAGCTTGAGTTCTTCACAAAGTCCTGATTTGATGAAACTTCGTTGTGCACCGGAGTCAAGTAGTATCGTTACTGGCTGGTAATCCCACTCTGCCTCGTTGAATATAGTTGCCGAAACTATTTGAAGAATGCATTGATCCTGTGCAAGTGGAAGTACTTCGGGATTGTAGACTTCTTGTCGTGAGCTTTGTACGACGTGCGTATTGCTCTTCTCATGACAATCCTGATTGATGTCACGTGATGACCAAGGAGCAGATGAATGTTGATTAAGTGAAGGATCTGGGGATTGCGTCGAGAATCCTCTGCGTTTTCCTGCTTCTGACAAGCAAAGAGATCCATGTGTGATCCTTTACATTTTGGGCACACACCGAAATTCGTGCAAGCGTTTGAGTTGTGATCGCTTGCAAAACATCTCCAACACACTCCTTGATTTGTTGCTTCAAGCCGTCGGGCTTCTGGTGTGGTGTACCTCTGACAGGTGTGAGGAAAGTGTGGTTGTCCACATAAACACAAACGTTTTAGTTTCGAAAAGTGTTCTCCTCTATCGCATCTGGTAGTCCTTTCATTTTCTTGCTTGTTTGGGTGGTAGTTGGTTGGAAAGAGAGTTTCCGTTGTTAGCAAGATTGTCTCTCGCAGTGAAATGATGCTGTTTATGGTGTCCAGGATTTCGCTAACATCAAATGGATCATCTTGTACCGCTTCTTTCTGGATGGCGGTCGTACAGATGGATTCGGGAAATTTGGAAAAGATTATTCGATGCCAAAGTCTGTCTGCGTTCATCTTTGCTCCCGTTTGCTCCAGGTGAATGATCCTTGAGTTGATTGCTTCGAAAGTGTCTCGGCAACTTCTCGGATCATCTGAGGCCCTGGGTAGTTTTTCGATCTCATTTATAAGTATATCTGCCATGTTGGCAGAGCGATCGAAATGTTTCTTCAAGATATCTATCGCTGTCTGATATCTGTCTCCGATGACGGGTATGCAGCTCAAAGTGGCTGCTGCTTTCCCCTTCAGTGCTCGCTTTAGAAAGAGGAACTTGTCTGTATCTGATAGCTCCTCGTCAGTGTGGATAAGAGATTCGAAGATGGTCCAGAAGCTGTTAAATTCTCGGAAATTGCCCGAGAACGTAGGGATTTCCAGCAGAGGTCTCCGAATTTTGATCTGCCTCTCATTACGTTCTGGAACCCAAGCTTGTCCATTACCACTACTTGGTTGACTGGGTATGCTCGGAGCATCGCAGTGCAGTAGTGCGTCTTGTTCTTTCAGTTCATGCTGCCTGAACTTCATCCTTGTCCGCCACTGCACTACAACCACTTCCAGGTCAAGTGACTCCATCTCTAGGTGCTTGCTGAGCTCCATCATCAGTTTGTCTCTTTCTTTTTCCTCATTCCGTGCGCTGATGTACTCGATCGCGGAGTTGATCTGCGTCTCTTGAAGCTTCACTGCGTTGTGTAGAGAGTTGAGAAGATTGGTTATCAGTCCCGTTTCCTCTTTTATATACTGTTCATATTCTTCTTTTAGTGTGGAGAATGTGAAAGGGACATCAATATTTTCGATTTGTGACTCGTGGGATTTCACGAGTTTGCAGGCGTTGTTCATCCTGATCTTGAAAAGCTGGAGCGATGCCATTTTCTTTTCTGCTGCACGGGGTAGAGTCGTGCGCTGGTGTGGTAATTCCAAGCGTTCCAATTTGGAAGGTGTATCCTTTTCTTTATTTGTCGCTTTGGCTTGAGGGCGACAGCAGGGCTAGCCTCGATACGATAGCTGTCCTTACTGGTTGGAAGCTTTTTAGTGAGCTGGCAATTGAGTGCCGAGCGTGTACAAGCTGTCAGCAAGCGCGCCTGGTTGGCTTGTGCGCTGTACTGGACGGTAAGGTGTTGGAACCTGTCCCGTGAATGTAACGATCCAAAGCTCAAGATCGGTGAACCAATCGTGAATGAGCTTGGAAAGTTGAGATTTCTTTGCTAACTGTGGATGGACCAGTCAGTCAGCTAGAAACCTCTTTGCTAAGCTATGGATATGACCTGATAGCTTCGCAAGATGAAACTCGTTGTGAAAGTGGATGGACCAGCAATCACAGAGTGTTTTGGCTAATGGAAGCCAAAAAAAGTTCGAGGATTTCTGCTGCTAACTGTGGATGGACACGTCAGTCAGCTAGAAACCTCTTTGCTAAGCTATGGATATGACCTGATAGCTTCGCAAGATGAAACTCGTTGTGAAAGTGGATGGACCAGCAATCACAGAGTGTTTTGGCTAATGGAAGCCAAAAAAAGTTCGAGGAGTTCTGTTACTAACTGTGGATGAACCAGTCA